AGTGGTGACTTGGGGGTGAAATTTAAAGTCAGGTTATTCTTTAGCAGGGGAACTTTGCTGCTGGGTATAAGAGCCTAGTTTCTCTGTTATTCTTTCACAGTTTTTCAAGATAAGATAGGTATCTGAAAGTGCTCCAGTTTTAGCTACTATTTACTTTTTGTTTCTGCTATTGTAATCTCCATATAGATAATGTTGTAGATTTCAATTTCTTCACTCATTTAATACTGATGTTCCATAAGCATATCCAGTGTATTTTGAATTCTTAAACCTATTAGGTGCAGGGCTCAACCTCTGAATATACATTTTAAAACAAACCACCCATATTTTATGCAGCATAACTCTGACTAAAACTAGTAGCATTTAAAAACAAATTAGAGAACCACCAAAATGAAGGTAAGTCCCTGTAACTTTATATACTACAGAAAAGATATGAAATAATAAAAACGATATCTAAACATACGCTTTTATGGATCATTAACAGAATGTTCTAAGTGAAAAGTAGAATTTCCTTATTCATTTCTAGGCTTGCCTTTTTTGATTAAACTTTACTTTTTGAAAAGCCTAGCTTTTTTCCAAATTTTCCTACCAACTCTTTAATAAAACATTCTGAAATTTGAGTAACTGCGTCTAAAAGGATTTGAGATTAAGAACTAAATCCCCAGCTGCCAGTATATCTGAATTTGCGTCCTTTCAAATTATATGTAAGGTATCATCGGTGAAATAATGCCGATAAGAAACCACAGTAAGCATCTAAAAAGAAAAACCCACTCCACACATACTAAGTATTAAATTTAAATGGATTTTAACCAACGATTTTATTCAAACTTAATTTTACTGTGTCATATGTGTATTAAGTATGATTTTTAAAGCTCATTAATAAAAATCTATTTAATAGAGCAACAAGTTCCATATTATTTCAGAACAAATCTAAAGCGATACTATGTCATTACCTGACTCTTATAATAAATAAATCACTATTTCCTGATTTGCCTTTGATCTTCTCTAATTGAAGACCACGATTCTCATTTATCTGAGATAATAAGTGAATAGATAGAGAAAAAATCATAAATACCATAAAACCTTATTTTCAGGTCTGTCTACCTACAAATGTTTAACTAGACCAAGCAGCTAGGAGGAAAACTGGACAATTTGTATTTCTCACCCTTTCCCTTCTGGTTTTCTGGTGCAATGTTAAAAGACAAGCAAGTGTCTGGGCGAAGTGGCTCACGCCTGTAATCCCAGCACTTTGGAAGGCCGAGGTGGGCGGATCACCTGAGGTCAGGAGTTTGAGACCAGCCTGGCTAACATGGAGCAACCCCATCTCTACTAAAATTACAAAAATTAGCTGGGCATAGTGGCGTGTGCTTGTAATCCCAGCTACTCGGGAGGCTGAGGCTGGAGAATCATTTGAACTTGGGAGGCAGAGGTTGCAGTGATCATGCCACCGCACTCCAGCCTGGGCGATGGAGTGAGACATTGTTTCAAAAAAAAAGACAAGCAAGCACCACACTCCAGAGCAGAAGCTACACCTTAAACCAAAGCAAAAAGGACAATCTTAGTTATGCTTTATGGCTTTTAACAAGTTCCCCAGCCCCTCACCCATTGCTCATCTGACGGTTTTATCATAGTATGTTCGCCACAGGAATGTCTCACTCGGATTACCTGAAATAATATTGCTAGCAAACCTACAACTCCATGCAGTGACATAGGTCAAAAGAAGAATTCCTCAGGCATCAGTTTGTTTCTCAAACCCTTTGCCAATAAACTTGGGAAATAGCTATTTCATACAGCACAAAAAAGAACTTAGTGGTACTTGGAAAAAGGCCCTCAGAGTCAAAAATTTATAGCTCGGCTTAGGAATGCTGAGGCCCAGTCTCAGGGAAACCATGCTACTAAGTCTTTTGACTGGGCAGATAATCTAAGGGCAGAGCTCATTTATCTTCTGGGACAGTGCTGTGTGAGCTTGATCCATACTCCTGCTTGTGTGCCTTGAACAGCTAACTCTGTGTTCAATGCTTTATTCTACTGGATGCTGGAAAGACCTTTGACTTCGCCAGGTTTTTAAAGAATTTACCAAAGTTGCTGAAAACATTGGATATTTGGTCTGTTTCTGTGTCTTTGATGTCACAGGTCCCATTAACTTTGCAATGATGGAGAGGAGGACATAGGGAGAAAGAGATCACAAAATTTTGGAAACATATATACACTTGTCACTGCTTAATTCTGAATTCAATAGGATAGGTAAGCTAGAACATTGATCACGACTTCAAATGCTCCTTTTACCAAATCTGTATGGATTTTATTTCTTTAAAAAAGTAACATCATAATGACTGTAAAATCCTGGTTTTGTATTAATCATTGGTATGTTCCTAGAATTCCTACTTCAGATACATTCCTCTCAATATGTAAAGCTGGTCAAGCTTCTGTTCTCATTTATCTCTGCCTCTGACCCATCTTTCTAGAGACATTTTGCTTCTTTTGCTTTATTTCATTTACTTCCCTTCTTGCTTTACACACTGCCCTATCCCCTATTTTCCTACATATCTCTACAAACATCTAGTAGGGTTTTCTCCTGTTTTCCAAACTTCACCATGTGAAATAATGGCTTATTCCACTAAGCAGTTTCCATGTTTCCAAAAAATACTGCTATTTGCCATTTGTGATAACTATTAAGCGGGTCATATTCTTTGCAAAGGGTTAGAAAGAATATTTTCTTGATTTTCTAAGTAATGCTTTTTATTGTCAAGACCCAAGTGTGAGGGTTAATATTAAGTGCCAACTTGATTGGATTGAAGGATGCAAAGCATTTTTCCTGGTGTGTCTGTGAGGGTGTTGCCAAAGGAGATTAACATTTGAGTCAGTGGACTGGGAGAGGCAGACCCACCCTCAGTATGGGTGGGCACCATTCGATCAACTGCCCATGCAGCTAGAATAAAGCAGGCAGAAGAACGTGGGAGCAGTAGACTTGCAGAGTCTTGTGGTCTTCATCTTTCTCCCATGCTGGATGCTTCCTGCCCTTGAACGTTAGATTCCAAGTTGTTTGACTTTTGGACTCTTGGACTTACGCCAGTGGCTCTCAGCCCTTGGCCACAGATTGAAGGCTGCACTGTCGGCTTCCCTACTTTTGAGATTTTGGGCTCGGACTGAGCCACTACCGCCTTCCTTGCTCCCTGTGGTACTTCACCTTGTGATCGTGCGAGTTAATTCTCCTTAATAAACTCCCTTTCATATATACATATATCCTATTAGTTCTGTCCTTCTAGAAAACTCTATACACCAAATAACGAACATTTCTTCAATTTAAATTAATCCTTCAGTTTTGATTAAATCACCATGATCAATAATTTGGATATTAAGAAATCAACCTCTACATTTATTAGGTTTGGAAGATCCCCCTTCTATGTGGTATCTTATTCTTCTACCATAAGCTAAAGTAGAAAGGATATTTTCTGAACGTTATTTCTATGAGTTATTTTCCTTACTCAATTTGGAATTTTTAACACCTTAAAGTAATGGAGATGGAGTAGGAAGAGAGGGAAGGGAAAGAGGACAGGGAATGATCATTCAAAGGACTGTGCAAAAAAAGAACAGGGCACCCTGAGAATGTAATGAAAGAATAGTTGGTTCCTCCATAGATCTATGTTGCAGTCGTCGTTCTGAGGTCTTTAATTAATGTGTTTAATTCTCAGAATAAATCTGTGACATTAATACTGTTACTATCCCCAGGGAGGAAACTGAGCCCCTGAGGCTAAATAACCTGCCCAAGTTCCCACAGTCAGTAGAAGAGCCTGGATCCCAATCCAACAGTCTGGCTCCAAGGACTCCCACACTTCCCTATAGATCTGTTTCTTTCAAAACTAACAGAGTTGATTATTTCAATACTGATGAGGCTGAAGGTGAAATAACAGTGACTTATAACCAAAATGCCCTGATTCTTTTGTGATTCTATATATGAACCAAAATATTTGAGACCTATATATTGATTTAATTGATATTTTTGGTGTTTATTGATATAAAAGAAATTGCTCAAATGCTCGTCAGTGACGACACTCATTAGAAAACACAGAATACCACATTTTATGATATTTGGACTCAGGTATAAGATGACCACATGTTCTGGTTTGCTCAGAAAACCCCAGGTTATACCTGCTGTCCAGGCATAATTACTAAGTTCACTCTCAAAGTTGTCTCATTTTGAATAATAAAATATACAGTTGTCTTACCGAGGCACAACCAGTGCAACTGGCACAAGTCAATATAATAATTTAAATAATTACTGGTTTTTATATGGTTTTAATAATTCTGATGCTTTCATTTCCTCATCCTAAAATCAATTGTTCTTACCATCATGAGCTTGACAAGGCTTTTCCCCGTTTTTCCTTTTTCTGTCTCTTCCTGCCTTTAAACACTTCATTTCCCTCTAGTCCTTTTGCCAAATCACTGCCTCTCCTGCTTCAGTGCCTTCTAGTCTATTATAACGACCCGAATGGCATTTATATCCTTAAGGATTCCATTGTCACTTTCTGGAAAGGAGCCACTACTCAACTTCACTCTCTCACATTGTCTTTCCCATATTGTCTATCACTCATCACTTGCCTTAGGAGATCTAGGCTTTTTCCGTATCACATTAAAATTCTTCCAAAAATGTACTTTCTTTTTTTCCTTTGAGACAGAGTCTCACTCTGTCACCCAGGCTGGAGTGCAATGGCGTGATCTCGGCTCACTGCAGCCTCTGCCTCCTGGGTTCAAGTGATTCTCGTGCCTCAGTTTCCCAAGTAGCTGGGATTACAGACGTGTACCACCACACCTGGCTAATTTTTTTGTATTTTTGGTAGAGACGAGGTTTCACCATGCTGGCCAGGCTGGTCTTGAACTCCTGACCTCAAGTGATCCACCCGCCTTGGCCTCCCAAAATGCTGGGATTATAGGTGTGACCCACTACTCCCAGCCAATTTTTACTTTCTTTTAGTCCCCTTACAGAAACCCCCTGACCTCCTTACCCTTGGATCAAATTCATTTATTCACTCAGACATACAGTCTACTTGGGAAGCTTAGCTGGCAAATTCAGGTTCCCAGCTCCAGGGCTTCATTTCACAAATTACTTCTGAAGATCCTTGGGAACTTGACCTGCAGAAAGAACAGAGAAAATTCCTGCCCTATCTCTGCAGAAGAACAGTTTACATATGCCTTGAAGCATTAAGTTTTATTACTTTACCCTTATCTCAGTCCACCAAATTACGGATGTTGGAGGGCACAGTTGGTCACTAGTTTTGGAAAGTTGCTCCAGGCCATCGGTGAATGAGTATCAGGGAGACAGCTGCCAACTCTATCCTACTCAGTGACTTGAGAATTTTGACAATGCTCTCCCTTTCTTAGCCAGCACGGATTCTTAAAATCTTAGTATTTAAATTTATCCTGCTTACGATACCCAGTACAGAACTGTATTCGATTTCCTTCTCCTGGTACAATTTAGCAACATTAAATGGCCCTATTTATCCAAATACAGTTTAATCTCCTGATTATAATGACATATCATTAATGGGTTTGCTGTAATAGTTGTTGGGTTTGTGGTACCTTTTGGGAGAAACCGCAGTAAGGACTGAAGATCACATTTAATAGAAAGAAATAAGTATCACTAAAGATTCAAGGAAAGTAATTAGCTTCAGAGTCACGTGGCCAAAAATAAATTCTATATTCCACTCTACAATAATGTTTTAAACAGTCATTCTTCCTACGTGCTACCTAGTTCTTTCATGCAAATGGTAGTATTTGAGATAGATAGACATCAAGAACAAATGAAATCATTGCAGAGATCAACTGTATAATATATTTTAGAGCTATTGATGTAATACTGAAGAACAAATGTGCTAGTGTAGACCAGAATTTGAGCAAATCCTAGTCACAAAAAGTGACCATGGTTCTGTGTGTCAGCTTTACAATTAGATTCCTTTAAGAATTTCAGCAACCTCTTCTGTCTCTTATGGGCAGAGGCCATATTTCTAAGACAAAAATTGGTATGCTAGGGGTAAAATGTTTGAAGATGAAACGCTACTAGAGAATCAGAACATGCAGTAGAAGACCATCAGAACTCAAACTTTAAAAACAGCAGCAAAAATAAGATGCCTCAACCAATTCAATCTAATTTCTCCAAATATTATCTTTTCACTTAATTTGGAAAATACCCACTTTAGTAAGAATAATCTTTAAACATCAATCTCAAATCTCACACGATGTGAGGTTGTATATATTATGTTCTTCAAAGTGTGGTCTGTATTAATAGAACAAACTGAAACTTTCTTGTATACTACAGAGTAAATCATAAGATTGTATTAATTCTGTGAATCACACACACAGATAGCAAAGAAGAAAAAATATAGTTGATCTCAATTTGGTCTCATAAAAACACAGTATCTGTTCTTACTGTCACTTCACATTTGACAAAATAGGAATACCCCCAAAAAAATAAAGACTAATTTGAAGAAATTTCTTTTTAGACAAGAGCAGTGGCACTCATTAAACTAATTTTCCTACTTTAAGCTTCTACAATTACAATATTGTCCTGAAAATAAGTAGACATTATTTAATAGTCTCTTTCAAGGACTCTTCCCTTAAAAAAATACAAAATAAATCCATTGGTACCATTTCAAACTGGGCCCCTAAATATTACAAATCCCTTTATTCTCTCCGTCTTTGCAAATTACATCTAGTTTAGATCCAGAATCACTCAACTAAGCAACATTTCTGTAAGATACAAAAGCCTGTGATTTATTAGGAAAAGCTTGAGGGTCTATTAATACTTCATTAAAACCCCTACGTAGTATTTATAGCAACAACAGAAGAAAAAAAAGTATTGTCAATTAGTGGGTCAAAAATGAAGGCAAATAAAATGCCTATGAAAAAAAAAAGCAAAAACATAAACCCATGACTTGGTGCAACGATACTAGCTTAATTTCTTAGAAGCCCAACTTCTGCATTCCTGAACTGTGATCAGGGATGGTCAGGGAGTGCTGAGAGGGACAAAGGGCCTCACTGTCACTGGTCCATGCTCTTAAGCTGAGAGGAGGAAAAGCCTGCTGTGTCACACAGCACTCCCAGGCAAGAACTGACTTTGAGCCCAGGAGAAGCCTCCAGAGCCCATTTCACAGCATTCCTTAGACATGGCCTTCCTCACGCAGAGGCTGAGGTGGATTTAGCACTTTGTGGTTTTTCTGCGACTGGAATCTTTGTTATTCTGCATGAGGTTTGCACTGAAGACACAGATGACCTCAAATGTAGACACAAAAAGATTGTGAGAGACCAAGTTAGAGAAAGAGAACCAAGAAAAAGCTCGTAAGAAATTTTAAAGTGAAGCACTAGACGTTTATTGACTTGTGACGACAGTGGTGCAATCAGAACAGGCAGGAAGGTCTGTTTTGCTTCATTGTTTGGATTTGGGTCTGAGTTCCCAATAATTTATAATAATGCTCACATTCTGTTGAAACAGCTCCAGAAATTGTGTTTATTGAACTCAATAGTGGAAAGAATTCCATTTGGCCCTATTCGTGTCTTTTCTCTAAGAGTAGTAATGAGGATTAATAAAAAACACGGCTTAGTAGAAACCTTATTAGTCTACCAAGGGTGAATGGGCATTGGCCAATTTGTAAAGGGAGCTAAATTTAAATTCTTAATATAATCTAATGTCAATTAAGTGCATATGATAAAGAATGACCACCTTGAAAATTAATCTATTTAATAGTTAAAATATAATCAAATTACTCTGTTCTACAAATGTAGCTTCCTTCCCTTTCTAATTAAACATTATTTTATGAATTTCAATTTCCCAGATGCCTGGAATTTTTTTTAAGTTTTGTAAGCAAGGCTTCAAAAACGGAAGGTACTTTGCTATTTCTTATAATAGAAAAATTGGCTTCTTGTCTTAGCAATCACCAATTATGTTTATAACCCTAGGAAATTTCGAGGACAGAAAATCAAGCTAAAATCAGAAAAGAAAATTATACAGCAAATGTTATGGCTTACACAATTACGAAGAGAGAGCACTATTTTATTTTGTGATCTATGACGCTGCTAGAGGGGAGCAACTGCTATTGCTGGGGCTGGCAGTTCTCTCTAGGGGTGGACACCCCCATAGAGAACCAGTTTGTATGTGCTCATCAGTGGGACAATATTTTCTTCTTGTTGATGCAACTGGCACAGAGAATTTTGCCTTTCTATACTCCAACTCCAATAATATCAATTTTCATGTATATTGCTCATGGCCATCATTTTCCAGTCTTTAAAATTATGTTTTCTGATCCCTTCTAAATTACCCTAAGTCACTGAGCCCTAAATTAGAAGCTGTACTCTAACAAGAGACAAATTATTAATACCTCCAAGAAGAGCGATGGCCTCACAATGAGGTCATGGAAACTCCAGCTTCACAGTTGAAAAACAAAAGCATTTCCTTTCTCTTTCACCTCCTGGGAATTTTTTTTTCTTCTTTACAAGAGATAAAATCTGACAAAGTGAAAATATTAGGAGCTGGCTACGTGGAACCTGACCTAGATTAACATTTCTCTGTGTTTCTTTGGTGTATCATTTTCTATGTCTCATTGTAAAATGTAAAAAATTGTCTTCTCTGAAAAATTTTAAGCAGTCAGTTATTTTGTTTTTCAATTTAAAAAAATCATACATTGCCTCCCTCTCTCTATTCCACAAATATTTCTAGGGCATGTTGAAAAAAACTGAAATCAGAAAGATAAACCCTGACTTCTGCTCTCAGGGAAACTGCAGTCCAGTGCAGGGGTAGGGGTCAGCTACAGAGGAGCAGCATCATTAACTACCTTTGGAAATAATAAATTTATGGCTGCAACTGGCCCAGGGTTCACTGGTAGCATAAAGGAAATAATCTAGACCCAGATTGGAAGAAAACAGGAAAAGGTACTAAGGAAGGCTTTCTAGATTATGTTAAGTGCTGTGTTTTAAATATGTCCCTTAAATTTTATGTGATGACAAGTTAATCCCCAAATTCATATGTTGGTAATATTTGGAGGTAGAGCCTTTGAAAGGTAATTAGGATTAGGTAAGGTAATCAGGGTGGGCCTCCACGATGGGACTGTGGCTTCATAAGAAGAAGAGAGACTTGAGCTGGCACACTCTTTCCCTCTCACCACGTGATGTCCTCCACCATGTTGTGACACAGCACAAAGGCCCTGGCCATATGCAGCACCAAGCACTTGGACTTTCCAGCCTCTAGAACCATGAGCTAAACAAACTTATTTTCTTTATACAGTATCCAGTCTTTGATATTCTTTCATAGAAACAGAAAACAGACTAAGACAGTAACATATGACCCAATCTCCGAGGACTATAGTACTTACCAGGTGAAGACTGGGAAAGAGGCTCTTCAGGCAAAGAAGTAGGATGTATAGAAAGGGAACACAGTGTGACGGCTAAGAGGCATGAGCTGTATTGTGGAATGTATATTTTACCACAATTTTTAAAAAGCAACAGCAGTAGCATGGGTTTTGGGCTGACATTACCATACTTCACTTGGGTCAGTTAGTTACCCTGTATCTCAGTTTCTAAATCTGTAAAATTAGAAGCAAAAAAATTCCTACCTTATAGGAGTAAACCCTAGGGGCTTTAATACATGTAAAGCATTTGGAATAGTGCTTGCTTTATAGGAAGCACTCAGTAGATGTTACCAATTAATACCATGCATGCAGACCCAGAGACACATGAGAGCGGGCACCCAGTAAGGCATGAGAGTTTAAGTTGCCTTCTCCAAAAGGAAAAGTCTAATAGACAGAAGGAAGGAACCCAGAAAAGAAAACTGAGTTGGAGATCATCACAAATGCCGTTTTGAATACATCCCTTTTTCCTTCTTGGAATCTTCACTGAACTTTAAATGGGCACGGAGGGTATATTTTTGAAGCTACCTGAGAATAACCTGTCCGTGAAAATTAATCATGTCCTAATTTTTAATTTTAAAATAGAACACTCATTTTCATTAAAACACTCCCTTTCAAAGAGCAGACTGATTATATTACTACTGTAAATATGTCATCTATACCAAGGCCTGAGAAAGAGTACAATCTTGAATCTATGGATGCTAAGCATTCCCCCAAAATCTGTTTTTGGATACATATAAGCTATCTCTCACTCTGTGGACAGAGTGATGCTATTCTCTAATGCCACATATTATATGGGAAGGAATGGCAAGAATACAATGTGAAAAAGCATGATGATGAGATCTTCCCATTTAAAAAAATGGCAGAGAAATGTTAGAACATTGGAGACTTGAGTTGATTAACATCTCAACTTCTTCATTTGCAAAATAAGGTTACATGTTTTCTACGAGTCCTTGGGGCTCAAATGTCCTATAAACTGATTGCTGGGAGGCTATATGCAATCAAAGCAGACTATAAAACCCTGGGTAAAGGAAAATATCTCTCCAGTCCAGCATTTTGTCAGACAGTACTATCAAGGAATATTTGTAGGAGAGAGAGTAATATCTGGCTTTTACATTTCTAACTTTCCTATAAACATATGCTACTGATTTGCTACCTATAACTTTGGCTAGCCTTTCTTGAATTTCTATTTTTAGTATACTATAGCCTACTGAATGGATAATATATAACAAGTGATCAGATCACTTGTTTGCACCGATTGACTTTTAGCTCATTTTTGTCTAATGTTATGATTTTGACTTTTAGCTCAAACATTTTTGTCTAATGTTATGATTATATTGGTCAGAGATGTGCTAGCAGCTTTATCCTCAACCTCAGAATGAGAATAAACAAATATGCATAAACATATTGCATGCATAAATATTTACATAAACAAATATGTTTTGCCTCCATCTTGGTACACAAGAGTAGGGACTGATGGTCTCCTGTGCAGATCACACAGCCACATGGGAAAGCAAGGAAGGCACTAGAAACACAGAGCAAACTCCCATTTAGGAAATGGGCCACAAATTGTGGGCATGAGGGTCAAAAAAAGGATTAATTTCCCTTGTCTTCCTATTAGTCAACAGTTTGTATAATTTCCAGTAAACATGTGGGAAATACTGAAAGGCTTCGGCTTCCTCTATACCTTCTTTGAGAAATGATTAGAAGGCAGTAACTTCTTGGACCCTGACCTTGTTAAATGTTGACTGCCAGCATTTTTCACTTCTGAGAACAGAAACATCCTATTCATATGGTATTTTCTTGTATGCCCAGAGTCCTCCCAGCCTCTGCTCCATCAGCTTTCTCACATCAGCCAGAAACATCCAAGCCACAGAAGTTGCCCATCATGGCAGTGCTGCCCAGAAGTGTCCTGATTCAAGGAGACAACACAGACAGCAGCCTCCAACACAGCAGTCACTTGAGCTGGGCCCTATGTTAGCCGTGTGCTATTTTTATATTGAACTGCCCTATACTTGTTCAAAGCTAATCTCCAGGTACTAGAGAAACACTCTTAATACTATGAGAGCTCTCTCCAGGTATATAATATAGTCATGGTATCTACAAATGTAAAGATACCCTGAATGTAAAATTTCCCCAAAATAGGTATTGATGCAGTAACTGGTTTGTTGAATTGAATATTTGCTGATTTAGGTTCAATCTTGTTTGGGAATGTGGAGATTTCTATTCTAGGGGTGGTGTCATTCCAGGAAGGCAGACAATCTCTAACTAGATCTCCCTCACCACTTTCAAAGCAAACAAGGGTGCATTCCACAGCACCAGTGGCCATGAGCTTAAATGCAGCTGACCAGGTTTGAGATGGCCTCCAAAATATGCTCTGTTATTAGTAATATTTTTGCATTCACATAATTACCAAAATGCCTAAGGCAGGCCAGTGTTTCATTAGTGTCAAGTGAAAGCCTTCCCCCTCTGCTTGCCCCATGTGCCTCTGGTGCACAACACTGGATACCCAGCTGGGTCATCCAACCACAAGCCAAGGTAAACACAGAAAGTGTGAGTCATTGGGGGTAAGAGTTATGCATTTCTCTACTAAATGTGAAGTCTGAATACTGGCACTCTGGCTGAACCACTATGATTCCAGCATATGTTTATGATTAGTAGCTATTAAATCAGCTACTTCCAATGTGTAAAGTAGCTTCTACCAGTTATTTGGGTATTTTTTGTGTGGGGAAGCATGAACTCTTCAAGAGCGCTAAAAGAATTTTTTGCTTGAGTCTGATTCTTTCCAGATTAATGCATTAACATTAAATTCAGTATTTTAATTACTTCAATAGACTATATGGCATCTATAGAGTTGAAGACAACCTCCCAAAGTGAGGCACTTTTATTAACTTATTTTAATTGCTTTGGCTGAAACAACTGACATTTCTTTGACAAGTGGTCTGTTGAGCCAATCTCATCCCACAAATTAAACCCTGCCAAACATATCTACAAAAACTATTGCTACTTCGCTTGCCCCCTAAATACATCCAACCTGAATTACTGACTCCCTCTCCCTACCCTCTACCTTCATCTATAGACCAATATACACACATCACAGCATATCCACATGCCCAACTCAAATATCATGTCCTCCCTGAAGCAAACCCTATTTCCTCTTTAGAGGATACAATACTAAACAAGAAATGGTTCCCAGTTCGCCTGGGCTCCAGAATAGGCTCCTCAAGCACAGGAACTCTGTCTTGATTAGCTTTGCTCTTTCATGATACCTTCAAGAGAAGATACTTGATGAATGTTTGCTAAAAAAAAATCAAAAGAAAGAGTAAATGGATGAATGAACTGAATATCACAGAATCTAGAGGTATCTATTTTCTCAGTTGAAATTATTTATTATTCATTCATCCCACATATATAATTTTAAAACTGACTTGGACAAAGTGTTCAATATACAGTGCTGTTTTTGTTTCATTAATCAATCTACTTGCTAAATGTATAACTCTCATCCTGTCTTGGCTGACCCCTGGTTAAGTTTTCAGAACACTACCACCTGAATTCCTATATACGTTTCTCTCTCTGTCGCTTTTATTCCTTTAAAATGCATGAGCTAAGACAGTTTCTCCAAATGTCAACATGATACTATATTTGAGGTAACATGACTCATATCCATCAGAAACTGTTGAAGACTGAATTGTCTGGACTCTTCACTGATTCCTTGTGACCTTGAAAAGTTACTACTCTAAGATTCAGTGTCCTCACTTAAAAACGAGAGATTGTAACAGGTGCAACCCCAGGTTCCTTTCAGCTTTCTGTATTCTGGAAAACTAATTCTCTGTAGTTTGCTAGGATAGGCTTGCTACACAAGCCTCATGAGTAGGCGGAACAGAAAGCTATCTAAAGGAGTCGGATACTATTATGGCCCACAGGCCAATTCCAGGCTACTACCTGTTTCTCGAAATAAAGTTTTATCAGAACACAATCAACTCTATTGGTTCATGTAATGTTTATGGTTGCTTTTTCGATAACAACAGTAGAGTTCCCACATAGAAAATATAACCAGCGAAGCCTAAAATACTGACCCTTGGCAGAAAAACTGTGCCACCCCGGTCTAAATTACGTGCACCGAGGTGTGTGACTTCCTGCCTAAAGAACATTCCGTTCCCTGAATGAGACCTGGAGTCTCACTATTAGAGGTTTAAAGAAATGTATATATGCTTTGGGAAGGTAAAACACCTTGAATGCTAAGACTGTTCCTTGCTAGAACAAAATGATC